GCATACGAATGCGTAGAAGGAATTTTAAGAGTTACTTTTCAAGCTGAATCAAGGATGCACGATAAGAATTCAAGAATGTGAAATTTTCCTAAAGGTTCTGTAGCCTCTCGAGGATAAATACAGACGTCTCTATACCGATCCGCGAGACTCTACTAAACCTGCTCATGACTCGTGAGACCTATGTAACCTAGGCTCTGATACCAACTTATCACGACCCTAACCCCGAACTCGGTCGTGATGGCGCCTCTCGTGAAGACAAGACCATCCAATTTACACAATTCATCCTCTTAAATAGTTAAATAACATAAAGATACTTCAAACATGATTCAATAGCAATATTTAGCGGAAATAGAGATAACAAAAATGGAAACCCAACCCTACACAGCCCTAACCGGGGTGTCACAAGTCACGAGCATCTATTAGAGTATAAATACAACTACAAGGTCTGAAATATACAAAAACAGGACTGATAAGCAAAAAGGGAGAGAAAACGGTGCTGCGAACGCTGGCAGCCACCTTGCTAAACTCCGATAACTCTGCCACCGATTAGCCAAAGCCCACTACCGGGTGTATAAATACCTGCATCTGCATACAAGGTGCAGGGAGTAAAGTGAGTACTCCAACTCAGTGAGTAATAAAGGTAAATAACAACTGAGCAGTAAGAAATCACGGAAGGCAAACCAACATACTATATAGAAGCAGTGTAAAACCTTTGAGAAAAGCAATGAAGCTGTGAAATATTTAGAAACATCTTAGCTCAGTTTAAAACCCTCTTTCGAAAATGACTTTTTCAACAGTTACGCAAATAAATGCAAAACAATTAGTGCCGATAAGCACAGAACATCCGCCCCTCGGGCACAAATACTGTGTATAACAAGTAAAATGCCAAGTAAATATGAAAGATGAACACATAAAGGTTTGCCCCTCGGGAAATCTCTCGAAAAGTACCAGCCCCTCGGGCTTACTCTCAGAATAATATCAGCCCCTCGGGCTCACTTTCAGATCATGATGGGTACCCACGCTCACTGTGGGTATGCAGACTCCGGAGAGTCCCCTCACGGCCCAAGCGCTATATCAAGCCACCTCGTAGCATCATCTCTCGGCACTCGGCCTCACATCACTCGGCACTCGGCCTCACATCACTCGGCACTCGGCCTCACATCACTCAAGCCACCTCGTGGCATATAAAAAGTATCTCAGGCCCTCGGTCTCATATCACTCAACATATCCTCACATATGGCCCTCGGCCTCGCTCAGTCCGAAAATCATCACAAGCCCCTCGGGCATCAGTAAAGCAGTAGTTCTCAGCCCAAAACATCATTTAGAAATATCATTTAAGTTTCAAATATGAGTAACAGTGGCTGAGTTTGTAAAACAGTAAATATTAACAAGACTGAGTTCAAGTAATAAGTCAAAATAGTGAGGAAATAGTGATAAAAATCTTCGGAGGCTTCAAATAGTTGGCACGAAACTCAAATATGGCAATCAACCCAAATCATGATGCTAACAAATAGGTTTCAGTCAAATACGCAGTAAAATCATAAATCGGGACGAACCAAGTCACAATCCCCAATAGTAAACAACACCACACTCATTATCAGCGCGTATCTCTCCTCAATATAGCACTACGATGTGCAATCCGGGGTTTCAAATCCTCAGAGTATCATTTACAATCATTACTCACCTCGAACCGGCTACAACTCTAGCTCGCGACGCCTTTGCCCCTCGAATTGGCCTCCACGTGCGTCGAATCTAACCAAAAGCAGAACGAATACGTCACAATATGCTAAGGGAACAAAGCCCAAGCGAAAACAATCGAAAAATATCAAAAATCCCAAAATTAGCAAAACCCGAGCCCACGGCCACTTCTCGAAACTCAGAATTTTTTACTTCATTAGATTCCTTATCTCCCCACGAGTTCATACATACCAAAAGTTCTCAAATCCGACCCCAAATAGTCCTCCAAATCCCAAATCAAAAGTCCAATTTTCTCAAGCCCTAGCTCTTCAATTTTAGGCTTAGTTTCATGAATTTCTAGGTGGATTTCACAATAATAATCGAGTATTGAGTTCAAAAATCTTATCTCTAGGTGATTTCCCTTGAATCCCTCTTTAATTTCCTTCAACAAGCTCTCAAGATGATCAAAAATGGGGGAAATGAGCCCCAAAATCGCGGATGAAATGACTTAAAACATTCTGCCCAGGTCTGACCCTTCCTTCTTCGCGAACGCGGTCAACCTCTCGCGAATGCGTAGCACAAAATTGCGTTGACCAACTTTTACTCTTCGCGAACGCGACATGGCAGACGCGAACGCGATGCCTTACACAGCCCACTCATCGCGAATGCGTCCTCAACCTCGCGAACGTGGTGCATCACTTCGCCAACCTACGTGAACGCGACCCAGTCTCACGCGAACGCAATGCCTACCGGTCCAGCCCTCCGCGAATGCGAAGTTTCTCTTGCGAACGCGAAGGCTAATCTCCTGGCCTTCCTCAATCCTTCTTCGCGAACACGAGACTCCACTCGCTAACGCGAAGAGATAAATCTCTGCAACAGCTGAGCAGATTTTTCTACAATTTCCAAACTTCAAAACGATCTGAATGACCACCCAAAACTTACCCGAGGCCCCCGGGACCTCAACCAAAAGCACCAACACACCCTCAAACCTCATTCAAACTTGTTTCAATCATCAAAACACCTCAAACAACACCAAATCCATCAATTCACATTGAATTCAAGCCTAAGTTTTCTAAAAACTTCCGAAATACGCTTTCGATCAAAAACGCAACCAAACCACGTCCGAATGACCCGAAATTTTGCACACACATCACAAATGACATAACGAAGCTACTGCAACTCTCGAAATTCCATTCCGACTCCTAGATCAAAATCTCACCTACCAATCGGAAATCGCCAAAATCTCAACTTCGCCAATTCAAGCCTAATTCTACTCCGGACCTTCAAAACCAATTCCGATCACACTCCTAAGTCATAAATCACCCAACGAAGCTAACCAAATCATAAGAATTCCGTTCCGAGCTCATATACAAATAAGTCAACTCTTGGTCAACCCTTCAAATTCAAAGCTTTCATTTGAGACTGTTCTTTTAAATTCATTCCGATTTTCCTGAAAACCAAAACCAACGATCTACATCAGTCATAATACCTTACATAGGGCAAGTCATGCCCGAGAACTGGCGATCAAAGTGCAAAAGCTCAAAACGACAGGTCGGGTCGTTGCAGGGCCGTTTATGTATTTCGCCATCTTTTTATATAATTAAAAAAATCTACCCTGCTATATTTTCTTTTTGTAATATTATAAGTTTATTGTTCAGATTGCTGGTGCGCGACATCATAAAACGATTGGAAATGATACAATCTATCCAAATATTGTATTCATCAAAATAATACAGTGTAATATACTATAATACAATACATAACAATTCGATACATTATAAAACAATATATAACAACATCCAAACAAGTTGTTAGGGTGAGGCCCTTTTTCCTCTTTAAACTAACGCTAGATATTTTGTACACCGGGCTACCTTTTTTATTATATTTGGCTTAGACGTGTTATAATTGTCTATGTATTACTATAATTACTTGATGAAATAAAGAGTACAATTATGCAAAGATTTTCTTCCATACCTATATTATTTAGTAGTGATATTTTTTCTTTAATATGCTTATACAGGTTTTGGTACAACTAAGCATATGAAGGGACTGGTGGGATTGCTTAATGTTTTTTTGCTTATTGAGTGATTCATTAGATATTTGGTTTAATAATGGCTAGGATAAGTAGTACTCGACATGATAAGATTTTCTTTTCTTGTTTACAAAAGAGTGAGCCCGTGGAAAAAGGTTGTCCCACTTCTCATACTTTGAGCAAAGGGAAAGAAAAGGGGGAAATAAGAGGTAAATAATTGGAAACATCAATTGAAAAAAGAATAGACCCACCCAACGTGTGATAAAAGTAACTTTTTGAGGTGCTTGTTTATTGAACAAGGATTTAATAAGTAATATATACTATATTATTAATCCAAAAAAATTATTGTATATTAATATTATAATTTAATCTTTAATAGTAATAATTATCATTTATCAATTTACCAATTAACGAACACAATAGTGTTCTGACATGTTAACTTAATTTGTTGCAAAAAACAAAACAAAAAAAAAACTTAAATAAAATTCAACTAATGTCAAATGCTCAAAAAAAATAGTGGGGTTTTGGATCTGAAGCAAAAGCAATCAGTATACTGATTGCGAAATTAAGAAACTAAGTTTAGCGAATAACATGAAAGGGGTCCATTATTGCTTTTGCTTCAGATCCAAAACCCCACTATTTTTTTTGAGCATTTGACATACTGATTGCGAAATTAAGAAACTAAGTTTAGCGAATAACATGAAAGGGGTCCATTATTGCTTTTGCTTCAGATCCAAAACCCCACTATTTTTTTTGAGCATTTGACATTCTGATTGCGAAATTAAGAAACTAAGTTTAGCGAATAACATGAAAGGGGTCCATTATTGCTTTTGCTTCAGATCCAAAACCCCACTATTTTTTTTGAGCATTTGACATTCTGATTGCGAAATTAAGAAACTAAGTTTAGCGAATAACATGAAAGGGGTCCATTATTGCTTTTGCTTCAGATCCAAAACCCCACTATTTTTTTTGAGCATTTGACATTCTGATTGCGAAATTAAGAAACTAAGTTTAGCGAATAACATGAAAGGGGTCCATTATTGCTTTTGCTTCAGATCCAAAACCCCACTATTTTTTTTGAGCATTTGACATTAGTTGAATTTTATTTAAGTTTTTTTTTTGTTTTGTTTTTTGCAACAAATATATATATACTGATTGCGAAATTAAGAAACTAAGTTTAGCGAATAACATGAAAGGGGTCCATTATTGCTTTTGCTTCAGATCCAAAAAGAACCAAAAGATTAAACCCAAGATCTTAAATCCGCCTCCGCCCGTAACAATTTCATCTTGATGGGAATGAGAAACAACTTCATTCAACTTAACCAAAAAAAAGTACAAACAACATATAATTATGTACAATAATCACTTCTCATAACCTTCAAAGACCATTTTCTACATGGCAATATCAACAAGAACTAGATATTCAAGAAGAAAAAAGAAAATAGGGAAATCAAGTACAACCCCATGTAACAAAAAGATGCTTAATTTTCCTCTTAATCACACCACTAATCATAATAATTATCGGAAAATTTGCTCTTAATCCACTTGAAACTGTTCCTCAAAGATGTTTTAAGCTTACCTTCCATAGAATACATGTTATAACTAGCTATCCTTCTCTTCCTCTTCCCCTCCGGATTTTCGCCCGGTCCATTAAAACTTCTTCTACTTGAGACTTTGTTCGATCCTCGAAATCAAATCTTGCTTCTGTATAAGATGCAGAATGATAAGGGAAAGATTTGCTCTTCTCCATTATCAAGAAAATAGAGAGCTCAATAGGGTTGTTAATTAGCAGAAGAAGAAGGAAGTGTATATATATATAATTATATATATATTCTACTTATTTAGAAGGGGGAGTTGAGGTGCTCTTCGTCGTCCTCTTTGGGCTATTTTTGGAATTCCAATCCCTGCTTCGGGGTTATTTTTGGAAATCTGTCCTCTAAGTGGCTTAAACCTTTTCTCGTGTACATCCTTTTTGTTCAACACGTAAGTGCCAGCACGTTTTTTGTATATCCTTTTTCTTTCTCTCCTCTCTGCCTCTCTTCAGATTCTTCAAGGTATAGATCTCTCTAATTCTCTTTGTTTTCTCCCCAAGTTTGGAATTAAAGCTGCGTATTATGGGCTGTTGATTTTGTTCCAGGGTTTTTGCTATTCGAGAGTTCTGATTGAATTGAACTCAAGCCCAAGTTGCTTCCACTATAACTCTTCACACCAAACTCCAAAGCAAGACTGGAGAAGATGACGATTTGTAATAAGATGTTTGCCGCGTCTATCAGGTGTTGAGGTGTACTTTGCTTTGTCAAACACGTGGTGTGCAATTCTTCAATCTTCCCTTGTGTCTGTGTTGGTAGATCTCTATCGTTCCTTCTTTGTTTTTCCTTTTAGGTTTGGAATTAAAGCTATGCAATTTGAGTTGAGTTCATTCTTATAGGGTTGTAGTCAGTGCTGGATATATGTTTTCAAAGAGTGACGAGTGTCGGTCTTGTAAAATGTGGCTGCCGACGCAGTTGGACTCACCGTTTGTCAGCTCATCCTCTTCCTCACTCTATTTTGCGCAGGTCGATTTTCTTTTTGCGGCTGCTGGGTGATTCATTTTTCTTCTGCCTGCCGTTCTCTGTGTTGGCATTACTGAAACATAAAATTATGAGTTCTGCTGAGAGGTGAGACATGCTTTTGCTGAAATTTCATGTTTGTTGCTGTGTACTACTCTGCTAACAAGTTCGACTTGGTTCTTTTAGCTAGCTTTCTGTTTCATCTTGATAAATCTTATGGCTTTACTTGGCTTATTAAATGACATATAACAAACTACATATATTTAATTAATGGCAGTTCGATACTATAACTCTATAAGTGATTTCAGGATGAGGTGCATTTTTTTGTTTTAATACTTAAAAAGCGATAACCAACTACTTGACATATTCTATTGGGTTCTCCGGACTTTGATTTGGATTAAGGCTTGGGAAATTGGATAACCGAAGAGAAGTATGAAAGACAGGGACATCAGAAAAAGGGGAAGAGACTTTTATGTCGCGGAATTGCCGAGATGGATGCTGACTTAAAGGGGGTGGTAGGAAAGGAATTGAGATTTGGTGAGGTTAGAAAGATTTGACACTCTGGCTGCTGAAATGTTGAAGAGGTCGAATTTTCTTTGTGTGGGCCCCGACAGATTTATTTTATTTTATTTCAGTTAGCTTTGGTATATATGTTACCGGGAAGAAAATTATTATCACATGATAGATTGGTCAAGTCATTCCACAGAAATAAATTTAGCTTTTAGAACACAAAAGATTGGTATGGTCGTGTAACTACATTAGATGACGTGATCGTAGCAACAGATTTATCAGCACCTAATATGCTTATGTGTGCTTCCAAAATTAACAATGAAACCGAAAAAGAAGAATAGTTTGCAAGGAGATACATGTACTTAATTGAGATAGTGCTGGAGATCTTTTAAAAAGAAAATGTAATGGCTACTCCTAAAAAACTACAATAGTCTTCCATCCATGTTGTACTAGAGTATATTGCTGAAGTCTTAAGTGTAATTTACAGGGAAAAAAATATGTATACATATCATTATGCAATTTAAAAGAGAGAGAAAAGGCAAAGCTACAAATAAAACAAAAAGAAAACCTTCATGATTGTTTTCAAAATTTCATCTTTCTTTCTGCTCGATGAAAAAGAATGATAGTTGTTGTAAACACGTGATTTTTGCCCTATGAAAGAATTACTTCCAAAAATTCAAAATAAAACAATTTTCCTTTGTGTGCAATTTTTGTTATTTTTGTGGTATGTTTGTATAATTATTTGTATTTTTATGAGTGCATGTTTATTTTTTTTAATTAATAAAAATATAAAATATATCACATTTTCATTTAGTATTTAATTAAGTTTGTTTTGCAAAAATGAAAGTTACAAAAAATAGGAATATTTTGCATTGTTAGCATTTAATGTCAAATTATGCAATTTTGTTTTAATTGGTGTTTAATTGTGTATGATAATTGTTGTTAAGAGTTTAATTAGTATTTTTGGAGTTAATTTAGTTTGTAGCTCAATTTAGAATTTTAGTTTTATCAAAAAAAAAAAA